TGCACTATTGCCTTTTTTTCCTTTTCAGTTCAATTTTTCTTCAATCAATTCAGCCATTTGCTAAACATCAGAATTGGATCGAAGCAAATTAAATTCGGAGAAGTTCTATTAAAATATGTAGAAACATTCAGCGAGTGTTCCATACCGAGATAAGATATTCTTGATCCTTTAAATCCCTAGTCAAGGTTAAATTTACTACTTCTAAAATTTTAACAAATGTTGAAATTTCTGCTTGGCTAACCAACTTGTAGAGATAAGCATGTATTAAGATAAAAATTTACGATATTAGAAAACATAATTTCATTCTTCTTCAACTTTATTTGGAGTGAATGAATGAATGATAAACAGATAACATATTAGTGCTAAGTCATTTTATATGCCTTTAATTATGTCATAAACTTCTTATTGAAATTGGGGGGAGAGAGAGAGAGAGAGAGAGAGTTCTACGTACTTATTGTTCTACAATTTTTAAGCTCTAAACCACGAAAATAATCTATAATTAATTCAACTGGTCGATTTAGTTAAATTCCAATTAATTTCTGTCAAATATCTTGTCATCATCACTTGATCATACTCAACCCTAAATGTATAGTTTTGTATTTATTTTTCCCAAAACTTTTTGTTATCTTTTTCTTTTTCATCTTTGTCCCAGTTTGTCTTCTATTATTCTAAAAAATTGTTTGCTACAGTAAGATTTTCCACCACTAAACTCTAATCTTATTTACAAGATATCTTTTTCTTTTTCATCTTTGTCCCTGTTTGTCTTCTATTATTCTAAAAAATTGTTTACTACAGTAAGATTCTCCACTACTCATTCACTCAATAAATATTCTACACACAAACTAATAAAGTTATTTTAAAAATTTCAATTATACATTCTCCAAAAAATACTATTCATTACTCTATTTTTCTCCCAATAATGGGAGACAAACACACCCTTAGGGTCCGTTTGATTGTAATGGTGGAAAATGGGTGGAAAAACAAGAATTTCAGAGAAAATAATTGTATAGAACTTGTTTTTCAGGGAATTGTTAATTAAGTGTGTTTAATTGATATAATTTTGAGTAATACTATTCATCCTCACTGGGGATAAAAGTACAATCTATGTGCCACTAATGTGGCATTAAATGATAGGTAAAATTAAATAAATCATTTAATTTCACATTTCATTTAACATATCATTTAATATAACATAGACTGTGTTTTCATCCCTACTGGGAATGAATAACATTACTATATAATTTTGCACCCGAAAAATTTTAAAATTTTGGATCTTTTTGTTCACATTTGACTTTATTTTATAAGAAAATTGTTCATTAAGGTAAAATTTTTTTTACAATTGGTTATGACATTTGTTACTATTGTCAAAAAGTTAAAAAAAAAAAAGAAGCTTGCTTGAAAACTATTTTTTCACATTTAAAAATTTTAGTGTTTGTTTGGCTTCGTTTTATTTTTTTTTTTTTTGTTCGTTTTTTTTTTTTTTAAATTAAAATTTTCCATTAAATTTTTTTTTTTTTTTTTTAAAATTTATTATTAAATTTTTTTCCATTGAAAAAAAAAAAAAAAAAAGAAGCCGAAACTGGAATTCATTTTCCCACTATCTAAAAAGAAGGAAAAAGGCACGTGGGGGTGGGGAGAAAAATTTTTCCATGCCAAATTTTACCTATCAAACAACTTTTTAAGAGTGGAAAAGAAAGTTTTTTTCATTTTTCATGAAAAATTCAAGCTATCAAACATAGCCTTAATTAGTTATACTTCGCTTTTAAATATTTCCGTGTAGTATCAAACTTTGTCCCCGGTTGAATCCTGGGTCAGTCCATGCTCCCCACCTTTACCTGTGTCATAGAACATGCATCCATGTAGGCCAAATATGTTTTTTCGATAAGGAAATGGCTTGGCGTGTTCTTTGGCATCTCATGCCATCGTACCAGAGAAGATCATCTGTCGGACCACCTACGTCAGTGAGTTTTTACTTGAGTTTAGTTTCATTTGATTTGTCGGGTTGGTGTAACTATCGCTTTTACTAGTTTTGTACCGAATTTTTGGATGAACTTTCTTTTATTCATTTTAATAATATATCGGATCTATCTTTTTAGAAAAACTCCTTGGACCGGGGGCTGCCCATTTAATTTTTTTTTAAATTTCTTGTGTAATTTTATTTTTTTCCGTATTAGTCCGACCTATAATCCGATCCTGGATCCGTCTCTGACAATTTCTAATTGGACAAAAAAAAAAGTGACCAAACAAGGATCATTCACAGGGGAGAGACATTTTTTAAAGCAAGTTACAAGATAGATATATGTATACCAAAATTACATTGGTACATTATCAAACATGGGCAAGTGCAACATTTTTTAAGTTGCAAATTAAATCAATCGAACGCATTTAATTAATAATTTTTTATGCATTTTCTTTTCATATAAATTTCATACTTGCAATCAAGCACGTTATAATTGTTTCAAGTCTATCAATGGATTAAAGAACGTACAAAATTTAATAATAAAAAAGGACTCGTGTAATTGATTCTAAAATGTGCGAATGAAGACTTATTACTTGCAGCCGTGAATGATTAAAATTATATAATGAACCATCCCCGTTTGTCGTAGATTAAAATCAGATTAGTAAATTTAGATAAAAATTGATGAAATGTATTATTGAAAAATTGTGGGTTCTATAAAATGTGTGATTAAAATTAATTATTGACTTTTAAGCCCCCGTTTGAGCCCCATTTTTTCTCATTCCATTACATTAATTTTTTCTCTCTCTTCATCTCAATCACACATTCTCAAATAAAATAATATTACACACAAATCTAAAACTTTTCCACCACACATTTTTCTATCAATCACTATTTCACAAATTTTCACCCCCAAAAAATGGGGGCCAAAACAGGGGCTTATATAAAATTAAAATCAAATTTTAATTAATACCAACCAATGGCTTGTGTTGCATTCCATATTTTCTGCTTTCAACATTTTCCCGGATGATTATTACTTTTTCAGAGTCAAAATTTGATTGATTTTGTACACTTTTGAGTGCTTGACAAGGCTTAAAGCTAGGAATTTGCATGTATAAGTGGGACAAGAAATCTAAAATAGATAAGTAGAAACTCGGAAATGGAAGACAGCCAGACAGGCGGGTCCAACTGTATCTCTATGATATGACATTTCGCTCTGTATGTAACTGTATAAAAATATAGAATGTATTTATTTGACTACATTAGATATTAGAGTTGTCAAAAGCAGAAAAAATAACGTGAGGAACTCACGAACTTTAAAGAAGGAAAATGCTACACGTACATGGAAAATTCAACGGGAGACAGATATCTCCTTGTGATAGGTTAAGGAAGGAAACTGTTTCCTACTTGTCCTTCTGTTTTGACCCTGTTAAATTTTCCATGTACGTGTAGTGTGATTCTAAAGTTCATGATTTGGTGTTTATTAGGATTTCGATTCTAGATTGAAAAGTAAAAGAACTATTATACTCCAGTTTTATGTTTGAGTGAAATTTTTATTCTAGCCATATCAACACACATGTTACCAACATTTTCATTAGATTCTTTTAAGGTAAGATACCGTCTATTTTAACGTGCCAACATTGAAATTAAGATGCAATAAACTTTTTATTTTAACTTTTTAAAATAAATTACTCTTTTCATTTAAAGAGTCAAATTGACTCTCTACTTATATTATTTAAAATGTATTTGAAAGAAAAATGGCAAAAAGCACAATACATGATAATTGAAAATAGTGAAATAATTAAAATAAAGAGTTTGTTAAAGTGTATTAAATTTTTTACTCTTTAAATTTAAAAATGTTATCTTTTTTGTGCGCTCTTCAAACTAAAGAGCTTTTAGAAGATGCTCAGTATTATTTAATTGGGGGTAAATGGAATATTGAGTTTAATTTTTCAACGTTAATTAATTGTCAAAAAAAAAAAAGAAAAAGAAAAAAAAGATCCAAGTTCAACGTTCAAAGAATTCAATCGATCACCAAATCTTTTATCACCTAAATAGGCTCAAAATGATATTGTAATTTTTGTTTATCTTTCACCCCATTGTACGTATATCTATTGGCCATTGAATTGTATAACAATTTTTATCTTAATAGAATTAAAATCTTTATCTAACTAGTGAACTGATTTTTTTTTTATTTTTTTCATTTGAGTAGAATACGTAAACTCAAAACTTTTTTTTATTTTTAATTACACATTCTTCAACAAAACACAATTCCAAAATGCATTTTGACCAAAACATAGAACTCAAACAAATATGAAAACAATATTCAACATCACGGAAACCCCCTATTTATTGGTTGATTAATTGTTACCAACGTAGAAGAAGTTGCAAGAGAACTACTGCATGAGAAAAACTTTCATTAGAACAGATACCTCGTACATGTTTTTGCAAGAACAGGAGGTCAGGTACTGAAGCCCCTCTCCCATCTCTACGTCCAATTCATCTATAACATAATCTAAACCCCCATATAGTCTAAACGAGTTAAACTATGATGGTGATATTAAGTTACAACAGGATGCAAACAGCTACATGTAAAATGGAAAGTTATTATTATTTTCTGTTGCAAAAAAGTACAATAAGCTTCAAACATATATTGAAGGAAAAATGTTGTGCGTTCTGTAAGAAACTCAAGTTCTAGCCAGCACCAAAAAGCGGTGAATGAGGAATTGGAGAGCGAGGCGACATCATAAGAGGTGACAACACAGTTTCATCATAGATTCTCGAAGAAAAGCTAAGCCTGAGA